ATTTTCCCCATTGCCTGATAGTGAAGTCCAATCTTTAGCAGTTCAAAACCTTCCAGAATGCTGTCTTCTGAGCTACTTTCCCAATTCTTTTTCTCTGACTATCTTGTTTTATTTCACCTTACTCGCCACTTTGCTACTGCTATTTCGTTAGCTCAGAATGTCTATCATCTTAATAATGCATCTGCTATAAGCTTCTGCCCACCAAAATTCAACCTACCCTCCAAAAGCTATTTATTTTAATGCCACTCTGATTCATCTTTCTCTGAATTTTCCTAGTACTTTTTATCTCAAGAGTTGTACTTGCATTTTGCTTTCTATATTTGGATTGCCTTTTAACTCCTAAAATGCAAAATTCATGAAGGCTGATCTTCTGTCAGTCACATAGTAGTACATGCTTTGTATACTCAAAAAATATCAAATGAACATAAAGGAATTTCTTCTTCTAAATGTTAGCTTATCCTAACACCTATTTGGACTACATTTTTATTACAAGTGTTGCACCTCTGTATTATTCTAACCAATCATTTATTGAGATTAAAACAACTCGGATAGTAGTAGTGAAGTGACTTAAGTCAACCATTTAACCAGTTGTGGATATGAATCTACATATAGCATAATAGAGTTCGCCAGTAGCAGATTATCAGTCTGTATCTGGCATAGCAGAGTATGTTAAGAGTTATATTGGAAAAAGCCCAGAAGGGTACAGTGGCTTATCCAATATCAAGTGCCTAACAAGGGGCAGAACTAAAACTGATTCCCTCATCCAGGTTTTGTTGTTTGTGATGCAGGAGACTGTAGGAAAGCAAAAGTGGTAGGCCTCTTAAAATGAGTCATAAGCACACTCCAGATTCATAGGGAGAAGAAATAGTTTAACTTCTTGATGGGAGAAGAGGATAGCATATGCAGAGAGAGAAGGAATTAAATGTTGTATCTTTAATTCAAAATGCCACATTTGGCACTTTGAATTAAGTGTGGCATTTTAACATGCCTTACCTTGAGTTTGAGTCTTCAAGATCTGTTAAATTTGTTACGTACTTTATTTTAGTGGTTTGGTTTTTAAATTTTATTGTTAATTTTATAGAAGATACCTATTTTGCTCTCAGGATTTAAGAATAAAAGGACCATTTTTCTTCATTCTCTGTATTAAAGATAGAGAAGATAAAGAGCCTGATTTCAAAAAAAAAATAAGAAAAAGAAAGAAAGGAAGAAAGATAAAGAGGGGTGCACTGTTACTTGGGGGAGGAATAATAGAGGGATCTTGGTTTGCCTATGTCTCTGGGCCTCAACCATATAAATGTGTTTTAGTCATCATATTATAGATCAGAAGACTCTACTAAATAAAAAGTTGTTTCTTATCACATTCAGGTCTTCTTTACTAGAATTCCATATTCTTAGAGATGAGTTTTAAAATGTTCATGCTGTTGTTTAGACTTTCTTGTGCCAATATTATTTTACAACTGAAATAATATTAAAATAAAATAAGAGTAACCTAAGTATATTTGTATCATTAGAACTTGCTTAAGCTTAAAAGTCTATGTGGGATAGTAAGTTAAGGTCTTAGCTTCGTACAAGTCTTTTTAAATTACAAAATAATAGGGGCA